GATGTTTCCGCGGAGTCGCTTGGCCGCGACTTTAGGGGAGAGGTTCCCATGGAAACGGGAGGAAGCTCTTTGCGCCTGCGCGAACACGCTAGGCATGCTGGGAAATGTGGTTTCTGGTTCGTCACCCGGGGACTCAAAGAAGGAACGCAAGATGGCGCCCGAGCGTCGCGGTGGATTTCGACGAAACTACTTCTCCAGATCCTGGGTGCTGCCCTGCCATGAAGGCCTGAAAGGTAGTTTTTCTGGGCAGCCTTGGATCTAAGGAGTCTAGGGTGCAGGGGAAAGGGTCAGAGGCGCAGTCTCCACAGCGCATTTGATTTTGCTCCATAAAAACGGCGTGGGCCTGGAATTTAGCTCAGTCCTGCTGCCGCCTGCCTGGCAAGTGCAAGATCCTGAGTTCGATCCACGGTACAAACAAAACCGGCCTAACCCTAACGAGGGATTATCCTGTTTTGAGGCAGAGAGACAGCCTCTGTTCCTCTCCTACAAGGATGCGGGCACCTGGCAGACAGACCCTGTTTTTTTTTTGGACTGGGGATCAAACTCGGGTCCTTGAGCTTGCAAGGCAGTCTGCGGAACCACTGAGCTAAATCCCCGGCCCTGACAGAACCTTTTGAAGGTAGGAGCTGGCCCAGGAGGGCCGGAGTATCCGAGGGATGCAAGCTCCTCATTGCACACTCCTCCTTGCAGCACATGTTCAAGTTGGGGCTGGACAAACTTTCCCATGTCAGGCAAGAGGTCCTGTCAGGTGTGGTTGGACCCCCGGGGAAAGGGGTCAGTCATCCTGGCCTTCCCTGGGGGAGTTCTGAAAGACGCAGAGACCTTTTTGGACAGGACTGTGAAATCAGTTCTGACTGTCCAGAAACCACCTTGTCCACCCGAGTTAGGCTCCTCAATTAAGAATATGGAGGTCTTGGGTTCAAACTGTTAAAGATTCAGTAGTTTAGGGCTGGAGATGTAGCTCAGGGGTGCAGTGTCTGCTTGGCAAGCCCAAGGCCCTGAGTTTGAGTCCTGGCACCCCCCCCAAAGTTTCACTAATTTACATCTCTGACTCGTTTTTCTCATTTTTGGAAAACTGGTCGAATTCAAGGCCAACCTGGTCTACATAGGTCTAGAGCCAGTCAGAACTACATAGGGAGAACCTGTCTCAAAAAAACAAAACAAGCTTCTGCCACTCCTGGTGCTGCTTGTGTGCTTCTTTGGTGTGGGCCTGAGAAAACTCAAGTGCTCCCTATGCCGAGGAAAATCCTAAGGAAGGAGTCAAGACAGAACAGGGCAGGGAATTTGGCTCTGTGGTTCTGCCGCCTGCCTCATAAGCACAAGGGCCCGTGTTCGATTTTCCCGGTACAAAAAAAGACTGAGACCAACGATCAGATTAATTTGAAGGTGGGGGGAGGGGGCAGGATGGTTCTGTGGTGCAGTTTAATATTAAGAGGCATACACCACTTAGTACACTAATGAAAGCCTATTGTGAATGACAGGGTTTGTCAGCAAGACAGATCAGATTCCGATTTGATGGACAATCAATGAAACACCTGCACAGTTGGAAACGGAGGACCAAGATACAGTTGATGTATTCCAGCAGCAGACAGGAGGTGCCTACTAGAAAGGGAACCTGCAACAGCTCTACTTCAAAGCTCTGTTCCTACAGACCAAGAATGCATTCTCAATTAGAAAACTGCAGGGCCAGGGATTTAGCTCAGTGGTTCCACCACCTGCCTTGCAAGTGCAACGACTCAAGTTCAGTCCCCGGTACCAAAAAAACCCCACAAAAACCTGCAATTTGGTTCCACTACATCCTGACTATATTTTCTCTATTCTTTCATTTATCCTTTCCCCGTTCCTTTATTTTACATAAAGTATCAAGTATATGTGCACAAGCATATTGCATTTATTTTCTTTACTAAATGGCCAACATTTTTTTTTTTTTTTTTTTTTTTTTTATAAAGTGCAAAATTTTTTTTTTTTTTTTTTTTTTGGTACAAGGATCGAGCTCAAAGCGGTGGCAGCACCACTGAGCTAAATCCCTGACCCAACAATATGTTTTGGTTGACATCAAATGGAAATGGGATGGGGAGATACTAGTTCTGTGAAAATAATCCCCTCTTTTCATTAGTGGTATGCTCATCAGCTCTTTATATTCCAGTAAATTATTTTCTCTCGTTGTTTTGTTTTTAGACAGGGTCTCACTATGTAGTTAAGACTGACCTGGAACTCACTGTGTAGCCCAGGCTGGACTTGAACTCATAGCGATCCTCCTGCTTTAGCCTACTGAGTGCTGGGATTACAGGTGTGCGCCACCATGCCCGGCTTCTCTCATTGTTTTATCAGAAAAGAAAACAACATAAAAATCCTTGTATAGCTTGTTTGACTGAAGAATTTTAATGTTTTTCATTTATCATTGTAAAACTAAGGATAATTGTATAACTTCTTTGTACATAAGTGTCACATGTAGGGCAATCTGTCTTTATGTTGGAGTAAATTACCCTTTAAAAGAAAAAGAATCCTGGATCGCTCTTTAAGTGTGTTGTTGTTTAAATAAACTTATTGTTTAAAATGAAAAAAAAAAAAGCAAAAAATCAGTGGTTGGACCCTGAGCCTGCAGAGTAGACAACATGAGCAAAGCTTACCCTCTCAAGCTGAAATTATGAACAAGAAGTTATCTTTTTACATTCCTTACCCTTTTAAATATTTTTATTTTATTGAGACAGGCTCTCATGATATTGTTGAGGTTAGCATTGAACTGTGTAGCTCAGGCTGGCCTTGAAATCCTGGTAATGTGCCTGCCTTAGCCTCCCTGGTGCCAAGATCACAGGTGTGCATCACCATACTCAGTTAAAAACATTTTTTTTTTAAATTTTGAGACAGGGTCTTGCTCAGTTGCCCAGGCTGGGTTCAAATTTATGATCCTCCTGTCTCACCCTCTCCGAGTGCTGGAATTACAGGGGTGTACCACCATATCCATCTAAGAAGTTATTATTGAAATTAAATGGTGCCTGACATGTCCAAGGAATATTGTGGGGATTCACCTTTTTATGAATGCCATGATAGGTTAATGTTTGAAGATGACAGCTAGTGGGCAGTGGAACAATGTTGGGGTGGTGGTGATACCTGTTAGAAGACTTGGAACAAATTTAAATAATGAAATAATGGCTGTTTGGCAGAGAAATACATGTTCTTTCTCCAAAGGGCCTGTTGTAGTGTGATGTAAAAATTTGATTATGAACTTGTGTGTGTGTGTGTGTGTGAGTGTGTGTGTGTGTGTGTGTGTGTGTTTGAGACAGGGTCTCACTATGTAGTTCAGGCAAGCGTTGAAGTCGAAGCAGTCCTTCTGCCTCAGCCTCTTTGCCAAACCCTGGACTTTACAAATGTGTGCCACCATGTCCAAGAAGTCAAGTACATTTGCATACTAAAATTTTAAATAAAAAATAAAATGGTGGTAATTGTGAAGTCTGCCCTTTCTTCCTCTGCGAATGCTGCAAGACAATGCCCTAGATGTGCAGGCTGAACTAAGGACATGGACAGGCATTCCCATTCACTATAAATTGGTACAATTTCCTTCAAGGAAATTCTGCTTCACAAAATAAAAAGGCACATAGCCTTTGCTTTACTAATCCTAGAAATCCATCCTAGAAACGTAGTGACCACGTGTGCATAAAAGGTACATACCAGAGTTCTTAATGAAACATTATTTGGAGTGGGATTAAAAACAATGTATGTGGGAGTGGTGGTGCAGGCCTGTAATCCCAACACTTGAGAGGCTGAGGCAGGAGGATTATCATAAATTCAAGGCTAGCCTGGGTTACATAGTGAGTTCAAGGTCAGCCTGAACCACATAGTGAGACCCTGTCTAAAAAAACAAAAACACAATGTAAACAAATGTCCTTCAGTAAGTGACCACTAAAATGATGGATTCCATAAAATGGAATATGTGTGGTTATTTTAAAAATGGAGGCCAGGGATCTAGCTCAGTGGCACTGCCCCTGCCTCATAAGTGCAAAGACCTGAGTTTGATCCCAGTAGCAAAAAAGAAAAGAAAAAGGTATAAAAAAAATGAGATAGGGCTGGGGATTTATCTCAGTGGCATTGTGCCTGCTTGGCAAGCTTAAGGCCCTGAGTTTGATTCCTAGTACAGAAAAAAAAAAATGAGATAAATCTTTATATACTGATATGTAACTCATGAAAAAAAATTTCAAAGCATAGTATGTTAACATGCTGTTATTTATATTTTAAAAGAATACACACATGGGGCCAGGGATTTAGCCCAGTGGTGCCGTGCCTGCCTGGTGAGCACAAGGTCCTGAGTTTGATCCCCAGTACCAAAAAAAAAAAAAAAAAAAAGAATATACACATTAGTATACTTCATTATATAAGCATAAGCATGAAATATTTTTTTGTTTGTTTTTTGCTACTCGGGGTTGAATTCAGGACTTTGTGCTTGCGAGGCAGGCAAGGTGCCACTGAGCTAAATTCCCAGCCCCCTTTTTTAAAATGGAGGGGTTTTGGAGGACTTCAGAAGCTTGTAACAATAGTTGTTACCTATGAAGATGGGAGTGAGGGACCAGAAGCCAGGGTGGGAAGACTTGTGTTTTATATCCTTAATTTTTGCTTCCTTAGCAATTTGTGTGAGCTTTTTACTACATATGGATCTTATTTGTCTATATTTTTGATACAAATAGTTTCCCCTCCATTGCTTGTTTCCTCTCCTGCTGAATTCTTGGGAGTCCTCATGCTAAGATTCTAATAGAGGAGGGGGTAGCTCTGAGTTCAGGATTGGACCCTCCCTTCCCAGCTGCCAAGGCCACAGGAGGCAGAGCCTGCCTTCCTGGCTTCCTGGCACTATGACCCAGTCTACCTTCAGCCCCAGGCAAGAAGTACAGAAAGGGCACTCTGGTGGGACTTCTGATTGGCTGCTTA